CTGCCTCTTTCGTCAATATACTACATGCAGGTTTGCCCCTCTCACACCAGCTCACCTCTCAGGGCGTCATATTACTCACTCAGTCAATAAGGGCAAATGGGAGGACAAGAGCTTGTTGTACACTGCTATTTGTCATTGTTGGGAAATGGGCAGCCCGTTAGTGAATTAAACAAACACACACACTTAGACACAGGCTGACCTCATATATCAGAGGCCTAATTACATTCAAGTCAAACTCCGCTCAATAATATGGATCAGTTACAGGGGCTGCAGGTTAACCATGTCTTGAGCTCTTAATTTTGCTCTAGATCTAAAACCTTAAGAAGATAAACAACCACATTAGTCTGGTGCAAAATCGTTCCATTTAATAAATATTTTGTGATTATTAAAGAGATCCAGATCGATAGCGCTGTTATCCGTGGTGATAATTATAAATAATTAACAGGTACTGTGGTGAAAAGGCTGACTAAAAATAGCTTTAATCTCTGCTCTTGTAATTACTGCAAAGGTGCGGGCCAGACCTATACTAAAGAGCAAATTAAATCCTCTTTTTCAGCATTTCAGCGTTGCAAAAATTAATCTAAGGTAAAGCTAATGTCATACTCTGGCTGTTTAATGTCATATTCCTGAAAAAGCAATGACATATCCATAGAAACAAGCAGGTGATGGACCCCTAACCAAAAAGTTAAATAGTGCACCTTTTTGATTATTCTGTTAATTGATATCTGATCACCTCATTGTCTGTTTTTGTATGCTTTCTGTATACAATTTTTATGCTTTTTGTATTATTGTTCTTTGCTGACTGTACAGCACTTTCTAAACCTTGTTTTTAAAAGTGCTTTTCAGATACAGATACTGTTGCACCTTTGTAAAACTAATGCATTTCATGAAGCCAATAGCTTTCAAAATATGATTGTATTTTATGGCTAATTATAAATTCTTGATCATCTAACCAACATGTAAGTAGTCACGAAGACAATATTCTTTGCCTTGCTGCTAATGTCATCTAATCTCATATAACGACAATAACATAACAGTAAATCCAGGTGTAGTGCTGAAGAATCCTCCACATGATCTCCATATTAGATGTGCGTGCATATGGCCAGGGCTGGATACAGTGTCGCTCCATGATTAATGCACACACATGCAGGAGACTGGACCAGAGCTGGGTCCCTCGTGTGGTCTATGGGGACTCAGCCTAGTTCTGCAGGGGACACACGGAGAAACACACTCCAGGCTATATACAATTACACCATTCAAACCATATTGTTTATCTATGTTTGATTATAGTCACAAATGTCATACAAAGTGAAACCAGTGGAAAATAATATGATTTATATACAGGTTTTTAAAAATAATAATATAACTAACCTGTATGAGACATAGGCCTGTCACAGTAATTACTAAATCAATTTATCGTTCAATACGTGACAGATGAAACAATATTTTGGGGGGTTCAATATTTATCGTGGCTACTTTTTACTTTTTATCGTGGCATTAATGGGAAAATTTTTGTTATTTTTATTTTATTTTATTTATTTCAGTGACATATTAATGAACATTTCTTTAAATATGCCAGAATTAGCCAGGAAGGCATTTTTTTGATTATGTAATCATGTAATCTGCAGTTCCTTGACAGACCTAAAAGATAAACAAATAAGTAAATAAAAGATTCTGTACTATGATAAGATTTGACCAGTAGGAGGTTGAAAAAATAACATCTATGACTCATTACTGATTCAAAGTAAGTACTAAAGTGTTAAATTCTGCTGTTTATTTATTGAAGCTCATATATAATAATATTGTACTGTTAGAATACTTTTTGGAAGATAACTCTGCTTTATGGTTTGATTTCAATATAATCATTCATCATCTATATTTCGATCAAGAGTATAGCATACTTCAAAATCTGTTACCATGACAGGCCTATAATAGCCAGGCTGGCGCCACCTAGTGCCTCTACTCAATTTCATTTCTCTCCAGCAACTAGGTCAGGAATTGGAATACACTAGACATTTGAACCCCGGAAGTTGTAGACCATGCACCTGCCAATCAGCGAAGAGCTGTGAAGCCATGACATCAAACTGAAGCACCTGTCTGGGTCCCTTTTGTGGTACAGCACAACAGTAAACAAAGTGGTCGAGATGGATGTAGATGAAGCCATATATTCTGTGTTGGCAACGATTCCTGAGATCGAGGATTTAAAGCCGGAACAAAGAGAATGTTTGGTGAATTTTATTAAGGGGAAAGGTGTTATTGCCTTTCTTCTTATGGGATTTGGCACATTACATATGTCACGACCAAATAGCAACGATTGGTTAAATAAAAAAGTACCTGCCTACCGTCGAGCGAACGAATCCTAATGCTGCGAGGTCAGGTGAATCAAGCTAAGCCTATATAACATACTTATTATGTGAGACCATAGACTGTATATATAAATGGACATAGCTAACGTGCGAGCCACTGCGTTCCAAATAATTCACATGCAGCTCTTCCGACTCCTACTGACTCTCGCTCCCATTGACTTACATTGGAATATTGTCCTCTCTCTGTAACTGCTGCTGTGAGCCTTGTCATTTTGGTCTTAAAATGTGAACTACAATCACATACAGTAGTTGTTCCTCTGATTTCTTCATTCTGACACTGTGCATGGACAGTGCAACGGCAGTTTCTCCTCGACTAATTAAGATCAAAGAAAGAAAACGATCATTAGCTTGGCTGCCGTACGCAAATTTTGACCTGCTTGTGCATCACTAACCACAGCGGAGAACCCCAGTGGAATAACACATAAACACACAAACATATCTCCTCTGGTCTATAAAAATACTGTGTAAACTCCATCCAATCTCAGAAGGTGCTGCAGTTAAATAAGGTCAAACTAAATGGGTTAGGAGCCCCTCTGTGGTACTCCACTCATGAACTATGGCTGTCCTGTTGTCAATTGGTCCACTAGTGAAAACACTCTATTATTAAAAGGTCCATATTACGCTATTTTCTAATTTATGTTATATTGTTGTTTCCTCATCAAAAACATACATGGAGTGGTGTTTTGTTTCATTCACACATGTGCAACACAAATCCTGCATATTTAGGCTGAGTTCTTCGCTCAAACAGAAAACACTGTACTATTTTGTGATGTCATGTGGTAATACAAGAGGTGCTCCTCTGTATTTTTAAACTTCAATGTATTTTCTGAGCACTGTTTTTTTTTTTTTTGTTTTTTTTTTTGAGCAATTGCTAGGACAATATTTTTTAATATTAGATGAGGAGCAGCTAAAATTTGTATTGTTTAAATACAGGTGTTTTATTGTGGTACAGTGAATTCAAAGGCCTAGTCAGTAATAGAAATGATCAGGTTCAACTTTCATGAATTTACCTTTTGGATACTTCATGTCAAAATACAGTATAATCAACAGGGGAAACTGTATCTTGCTCCCATCTGACCCCATCTGTAGGCAAATTATATCATCACATAGAATCTGAAAACCTCCAATAAAACATCTTTAGTTGAGAAAATGCAAGATATACAATAATGCCATACTGAGGAACATCCCAGGCAAAGTAATAACATCTCCATGGAGACAAGGAGGTGGCAGACACTCCACCAGAAAAGTTACATAGTGCATTTTTAAATGAATAACCATATGGAAAATAAGCCTGATGTGAGTTGTATTTCCTGATGGCTCATATAGAGATCTGTAAAGCTGTAATAAAATTCCAGGGCAGTTCTGTCACGTCCACAGTGGAGCATATCACCTCCATGATTAGCGTCTGTATGACACTTCTCAGAGATCAAGAGCTCAGACCTGACCTTGGCAGCATCAGCTCTTAATTGCAAACCATTCACACTCACATAAATTTTTTGTCAATTTACATTTGCTTTAACTATACGTTATGTCTTTGGAAAGTGGGGAACAGAAATACTTAATGTGTTATGGATAAATGGGTTTGTCATTGAGATATGGGAGAAATGTCTTTAATAAAAGTAGGACTACCTTATCTTATTGTCTGTCACTTTAACATTCTTGTAACATTAGGCCTGTCATGATAATTACTATATCGACTTATCTTACAATATATAAAAGCTGGAACAATATTTAATCTGATATGCTTAGTGCCCTGATGAATCTCTACAATGGATCTCTTCTTTTATCTGTTTAAATATGTTGTTTAAAAAATATAGTATACAAACCAACCACAATGATGAACCACTAGTGACCAGTTTGACAGAAACAAGACAGAACTGATGAGAGGTTTAGTATGTTCTAACCTTAAACATAAATGTGGGTTTCCAGGTCAGGGTATCAGAGCTTTGATCTTAAACTTCTAAAATCTTTTTTGAGTTACCATCTGGACAGTGCTCTGAAAAACAGCCATCATGAGGAATTCCCTGGCAGGAAGATATAACTTTACCAAGGCCTTGTTCTGAGCGTCATGGCTGTATTTATCCCAGTGAATAATGAAAAGACAGTTTGGCTGTATCTCTATCATCCCCATCCCTGTGTCAGTGAAGATCTGGGTCACTAGCCCCATGTGCTTGCCACAGCCGTCATTAAACTTTAACCACCCCTAAGTATATTTCTGTGTCTCTGCTTCCTCAAACCACAAATGATTCCCAGTGGGAGGAGGACAAGAGACAGGGGGAGTTGGTAGATCTCCTTCCATTGCTGTTGTAACATTTTAGAGGTCTTTTGGCTGGTCTTGTGTGTTTGGACCACACTTAAGTAAGGACTTGGGATTTGGGCTGGTTCTGATATTGCATGTGTCAAACTGCAAATGCCTAACAGTTAATTGCGCCCTAATTCTGCTGAAATGAGCAGGAATGGAGTGGTTGCTTATTATAGCCTTAAGTAAAGGGGAATCTGTGCCAAATATAGTATACCATAATTTAATAATGGAAGCAATATTGGCAAAGGCAACAGATGATTAACATACACTGTAAGTGGCCCATGCTTTACAAAATCATTATAGTATCGACAGAAGAACAGAGGATGTCTTACCGAGGTAACATACTGTATATCCCGGCACAGTTTTGTCTCCCTTGGGAAATCTGTGAGATCTAAGAAGTTGTCAACCACCACCTGTCCAATCAGATCGTGGCGTGAGAAGCGGTCAAAGTCATAGACACTGAAGTGGAGTTTGCGGCTGGACAGCTCTGCGTAGGCCACAGGGAAGAGGAAGACCTCGTCAAACACTGGGTTAAGGGTCTTGCGGTGCACCTTGGTCTGGTGCTTGTTTTTGCGGTCCGGCAGTAAGTAGATCTTCACATAGGGGTCCGAGGTCCCTGAGAAGTCCTTGGCGGGGAGGTCCTGAGCCTTGTGGATCTTCACGATCAGCTGCTCCAAGTCAAAGTCAAACTTCAGGATGAAGTGGAGGCGTCCACAGTTGTTAGTCCTCCGGCCGTCATCCCCGTCCACTGAGCGCTGTTTGTAGAGCTCAGGTTTGATGCGACCCAGTCCAGACAGAGAGTCCTGCCTCTGGAACTGAGCTGGGTTGAAGTCCGGGTTGGACAAGTTCATCTGACGCCGGATAGAGTTGTGACTGTAACACAAGTTTAAAAGATGGAGATTTAGGATTTAGATCTAGGATTTCTTTATAGTAAAATCTCATCTCAAAAACATCTCAATAAACAACAGAAATTGCTTTACAGTCTTCTTAAGGGATGTTAAAAAAAAAAAGGTGATTCAAGGTTGCCTTTACAGACTGATGAAAATCTGATGAATACACTTCAAAATGACCAAAAAGAGTTCAATTAGCTCTCTTCATGGTTAACTAGACAGTGAAGGACTGGTGATTACTGACCGCACAGAGGAGGTGGGCTCTGTGATCTGTCTCTGCACTCTGTCCCTGGCGATGGTGTGGACCTGGTTCTTCTCCACTTTGTTCTGGGCCTCCAGAGGGATGTCAGGCGAAGTGTGGCTGATCTTCAGGCCTGATTCTGGGACAGCTGTGGCCAGTGGAGGCCCAGAGGGGTCCTTCACGCACCCATCCTCACTGTACTCCCTCTCCTCCCCATCCACCTGCAGCACAGCGCTGTTAGCAGTGTATGCGCACACAGTACTCACATGTATTATTCTTGTTAGTTTTGTCATGAAACTAAAATACAAACCTATAACATGACTGGACTATAGGTTTCTACCTTGTTCCTATCAATATTTGCACTTTTTAGCATATTGGCTATCTGCCTTAGTTCTCCAGCACAGGTCGATATTTTGTTTTGGCCAACCTGCTGCCTAAGAGTACACACAAAGCTTTATTTTTACAGTTTAGTGCAAAGAGATGAGTGCAGAAAACATAACTACATAGCTCTCTTGCAGGTTTGTAGTAAATACATACATATTGGCCTAAAAATACCTGCTCAGTTATCTGGTTTCTCTGGATTCTAAACAACTGGTATCAGCAGAGGCCATGAAAAAAAAAAAAAAACATTTTGGTCAACCTCTTGTTCCTACATTCTTTCTCTGCTGCTGTTAGTCAATTACAGCCAAGCATTTCTCAAATAATGTACATAAATGGAGTCTTTCTCCCATCCATAAACTACTACTTCAACCTGTTTATGCCCTATGTCCTCTACAAGAACAGATCCCTTCACCTCTTGTCTTCCTAACTGTCTCCATCCAATACACTTTTATTCCCCCTTATGCAATTCTCTGTGTGTGTCTTACCTCAGTGAGAACAGGCTGCTGGTCACCCCCCAAGAAGTGCGCCCCCTTTAGGATGTCTGGGAGGAAGCGTCCACTCAGTGGCACCCAGCATAATTTCCAGGTGACAAAGAGGGAGACACTGAAGAGGGCGAGGCCACAAGAGGTCACCAACAGTGAGAGCAGGCTCACCGACACATCTGCAGAAGAAGAAATCAAGCCTCAAGTCAGGAGGAATATAGTGAGCAAACACATGGTAAGCGTTGATGATCATTTACGCATCACTTGCCAAATGGAGTAAATAAAAGCCTAATAAATAATAAAACAAGCATAGGGATGGTAGGTGTATTACATATTATAATAAACCTGTTTAAATGCACATTTCAGCATCGAGTTGGCATCCACAACCATTTTATGCACATAATGTCAAGAGCACCAAAGTATCAATCTTATACCACACCATGATCAGCTGCAACAAACACGATAATACTTGACCAGTGACAATGTGACAGAATAACTGCATAACTTATTGAATTGAAATAAGCATCTCATTATGTAACAGTAGTACTACTACATTACTGCCTAGCGTGGGTTTTCTTACTTACTCCATTCAGACAAACTGTAGTCCTTGTCTTTCCTATCAGGATAACTACATATCAAATCTGCACTGGCCTCCCTCTTTTGTGCTATATAGTACTCCCAGAACGTTGTAAAGTAAATCCACAACAGGTTCTTCCTCTGTTTCCAGTTGTTTAAATCCAATACAGTGCTGAATCTTTCTTGAATATTTCAAGCACTCTGGGAAACGCTGTCAGATTTTACTGCTCTGTGAAATGCGAGGCTTAAGTCACGTGATCAAACTGACATCTTTTATTGACTGAGTTATTGGTTGAATTATTACTTGTATGGGGTGTATGTGTTTGTTTTAACTGCGTTTTAAATACAAGACTAACAAATATAAATAGAATTTCCACTCCTTGTATACTTGATTAATGGAGGGTTTGGTTTAACAAACTGCGCAACCCTGAGTGGGCCAAGAGGGGGGTATAATATACGCTCATATTAACTAGTGGTCAGAATTAGATATTACAGCAGAGTTAATGAGGGAGTTTGGCCTTGAGTGATGTTGGTAACTTATGCATTTAAATTGCCCCAGTCAAATTGGGACCCTCGGGGGTCTGAAGTTGGCCTGTGGTTGGCATATTTGAGGATCTAGGTCCTATATACAAGCATTGTCATCAATGTAAAGTATAGTACTTGATGAACACAACGTCAATCACATACATCCTCTTTAATGTATGAGTAGGTGTGTGCAATTTAGAAACAATCACTGCACCGTTTGAACAAATAGTCTGCTAAATAGACCACTCCCCGCCACGTAACTGCAAATGGGTGTCTCATGCATAATTTCACAGCCATAAAAACCATAAGTGTGTTATAAGGATCCTGCTCCTCAGTCCTCACCATTATATAGGCTGCTTCTTTGGGTTTGGCAGAGATCAGGACATGTCTGCAGTCTTTCAGTCATCATGCCCTTTTCATTTGAACGTGCATCAAACACACCAGGCTGCTGTTTAAAGGTCCTATATTACGCAAAATTGACTCTTGTGAGCTTTAAGACATGTTAGAAAGTTATTACCTCTTCAAAAACATACCGGGAGTTGTGTTTAGTTTCATTCACACAGGTTTGAGTAATCCTTTATCTGTCTACATCTTCAAAGCTCAAAATGCTCTGTTCCACCTTGTGATATCATGTATTTTTCAGCTACTTCAACAGCTACTTTTTACCTTTTGCTCAGCAAAGATTGGCAATTCCAGGGCTGAAATCATCCTAGTGAAGGTGTGTGGCATTTAAAAACACAGTGGTGCATTTCCTGTATTACCACATGACATCACAAGGCATAACAGAGTGTTTTCTGTTTGAGAGAAGAACTGAGTCTATATATGCAAGGTTTGTGTGTTAATCAAATATGAATGAAACAAAACACAACTTAAGGTATGTTTGTGATGAGAAAACAACATTATTACAGATCAGAAAATAGAATAATATGAGCCCTTTAATCTTTGAGAGCAGAGTTAATTATAAGAAACTGCAGGAATTTGGGGGTTGTTTTAGGCCATCACCTGATTTCCTTATTTGACTGGTCTATATGATTTGAATTTCTTAAAAAAAAAATTATATTGATTGCAGATGTCCTTATGTAATGCCAGGCAATCAGCTTCTCTTCACACAGTAGCTCATTACTTAAGGCAGTTTAAGGTTCGTGGACTGAAAGGCTAGCACAGACCTATTATCAAAGGGTTAGTCATTAAAGCAGCTTTCTTTTCAGTTGTCACAGATTCACTCCATCATAGATAGACATCTTTGTTCCTGTGCACAAAGACAACGATTAAAGAGCTAGTGGGAAAGTTACATTCCATGAATTAAATAGTTCTATCAAATTAACTGGAGGAGTACTTTTTATCACAGATGGGGGCCCAAACTTAAAGGGCACATACTACGCTATTTTCTAATTTCCTTATCAAAAACATACCTAAAGTTGTTTTTTGTTTTGTTTCATTCACTCATGTTCAACACACAAAACCTGCATACTTAGGTTATGTTTTTCTCAGAAACAGAAAACACTCCAGCTTGTGATGTCATGTGGTAATACATGTGGTAAAAACAGCTCCACTGAGGTTTTTAAACTCCATACACTAGAATCGTTTGGATGATTTCAGCCCTAGAATTGACGATCTAAACAAAAGGTAAAAAATAGCTGTTAACTAAAACTAGTACAACATGATGTCACATAGTAGAACAGAGCATTTTGAGATTTGGAGATAAAGGATTACTCAAACATGTGTGACACATGACTCCAAATATGTTTTTGATGAGGAAAAAGTATTCTAACATGGCTTAAAGGTTACAGGAGTCAGTTTCTCATAACATCTTAAGACAAAGTTTGGCTTAATGAAATAATTAAAAACTAAAGATTAAGGTAGAAGTAAATATAATACTGGCGCACATCTCAAGTTATTTGTTGTTATACTTTCTATATTCTATGTAGATATACTATGAATTTTATAATATCATCCTCAATTAAACTAAGTAATTTGCAACTTAACTTTCTTAATGCATTGCCAGATTTAATTGCCAGTATACTACAATGTGATCAGACTTCTCTAATCAGTGACCTGTCTCTCTCTACAACTCTTGGAATAAAGAGAAACAGGTGCTATGGGGAGAAGGGGGTTAAAGGACTCAAGAGTAATTCATGGGACTTGAAGTGTCCTTGAAAAGTACAATGCCCTCCTCTCCTGCTGGTGCATTCACTGACGTCATCATGACATACAGCAATTTGTTCATCTGGGTCGTTTTATGGGTTTCAAGGAAGAAAAACAAGACAGATTTCTTGGTGTAAACACTACACAAAGAATGAATACCACAACTATTTCTTCAATTTGGTATACAAAATGCAACAGCTCATGTGGTTGCAGAGTATTTCTTAAGTCAAATTATTGCCACATTTTCTGTCACTGTTGATGAAAAAATCAAAATACCAAAGAATCGCAAAGGCTGTCCCATTGGTGGTGATAAAAGGTGTACATGAACTTTGTAAATGGATATTCATCAATGCACCTTTTTGAAAAATTCGAAGGTGTGACATCAGTTTCAGTGCAATCAATTCAGTTTTATAATTCCCATAACAAAAGAATCCAAACTGTGTCCCACCACCAGTGAGAGGAGACATCCTGGACTCAAACTGTACATTCTCAGTCTCCATCTTGTACAATGGTGGATTTGGACAAGTTCACAACAGGATTCTTGAAATGGTGCATGTCTCATTTGATTGTGCTATCTTGTGTTGAGTGGACAGGGATCAAAATAATTTGAGGAACAGCTGGTAGAAGTGTAAATTAAATAGATTTAGAAAGAAGCAAAGGATTATTGAACAGTATGAACTACCCCCTTGCACTGAGCTTTTGAAATGACTACAAACCCTTAAAGGTGCACTGTGCCACCTGTTTGTCTCTGTAGAGATGTTTATGCCTTTCTTTGCCTGGAATGTTCCCTGGTATGACTTTAAACATAACCATCTAGCATTTATTCATTACGGGTGTTTCTATTGCTCAAAAATACAGTAACTCCTTCTATAAATAGAGGAGACTCTCCACAGATCTGAATTTTAATGTAGCGTAGTGTAACCTCACATCCTCGTGTTACATAGGTCTAATCTAAAATGTGGAACATTCTAAACAAAGCAATCATATTTCCATGGAAACAAGCAGGTGCCAGATCCTTCACTAGAAATGTTACGCAGTGCACATTTAACATATGCAATTAAATTCTGTAAGTGCAGGACAGACACAAAACCTCAGGAACATGACTTTCCTCTGCTGGACTACATTCCGAGGGAACATACTCAAATAAATTTTAACAAAGCAAAACTGCAGTACCCTTTTAACCATTGTCAACAGCAATAAAAACATAAAAAACCCTCTTAATATTGATTGAAGTGCCTATTAAATCCATTTATTGACTAAACCACTTCATTAAATATAGATAGCAATCTCAGCGGTGGTATTACTATTAAACTGCTGTGTTTCTGGAATTGCTCTTGATTCTGTCTTGTTATTGTCTTTTCAAATTCAACTTTTTTCAAAAATGTTTACTTAATTTCAACCCCAAACCATCACATTTAAGTCTGTTCTCATTGGTTTCAGGTTCCTGTTATATGCAGTATTTTGAGGACTACAGTACCCTCTCCATTCAAAACATATAATACTTAGATAAATTGTTAATCGCTATGCCAACAGTCCAACTTTCTCATTATTCAGAAACCCGTGGATAGCGTAGACTAAGCTAGAGCATGTACTGAGTGTACGTTTTCCTCCACACCTGAAATAGGGTTCATTTTCACCTCACAGTGGAGAACCATCACACACCTCCACTAATTCCAGCTGGTGCACACAGAACATGTAATTAAATGACATATGTGAGGATTATAGCACCCCAGCGTCTCCATGGAAACAGTGGTCACACACTACCTCATAAAAGCAGATGCCTGGGAAAACACAATAAGTAGGGTGCAAAGGACATGCCGATAGTAACTGCACTACTAAGGCTGACGTCACCACATCTGTATACTGGAAGCTAAAAGAAATACTGGTATCAACATGAGGAATCACCTGCCACTATCTAGCCCTGTTTTCTGCA